CTGCCCCAGGATGGAGCCCCCTCCTGCACCCTGAACCCTCATTTCTGGCCCCACCCCGGAGCCCGCACCCACAGTTAAGGCTCTTACCCCCTCCTGCACCACAACCCCCTGCCCCCGCCCAGTAAAAATGAGTGAAGGTGGAGGAGAGGGAGCTATTGAGGGAGAGGGAATATGGTGAGTGGGGGGCGGGGCCTCAGGGAAGTGGCAGGGGTAGGGTGTTCGGTTTTGTGCGACTAGAAAGTTGGCAATCCTACCCAAACCACACAGTGAGTCATATAAACTGATCTTAGAATCCAGACCCTCACTGACCCCCGGCCCCCTGCTGTATCCACTACAGTACACTGACCCTGCAACCACAATTCAGTAACATCAGGTCAGACCACACCTCCTCTCAGGTATCATTTATTTTGTCACCCAGTTCTCAGACTGTAGAAGGGATGGGAATGGGAGGAGCCTCTGATTTGTAAGGGCAACAGCAGCATCATATATAGGGCTAAGAAACATTTCTAATAACAGGTTTTGAAGGGAACAGGAGCCTGATTTTTATTTTATCCAACTATGTTAATGTTTGACTCTTATGTAAGGCCAAGGCAATCAATCTAAAAACAAAAGTAATATCAATACTGCTCAAGGGTTAATTCAGCAGTGTAGCAGCAACAAACACGCTGCCACCCAGGAACCTGAGTTTGCCCGTTAGATACCATACAAGAGCCACGTTAAATGGATATGGCCTGATTCTCCCCTCTATTATACCTGGTTTACACTGTAAGCTATAGGATAGTTTGGATTAAGAAGTAAGTAGAAATTAGGCTAACTTGGGTCCAAAACCTAGGTGTAGAGGAGTAGGGGAAACTGAAGTTGCTAGTGTGAGAAAAGGCAAAGATAAGTTGGAGACAGAGTGTTATGGAAAAGTAAGAGTTAGCAAGGACGTGACCCAGGGCTTTGTTACCATGATGTTTGGATTATAACTGGTTTAAGCAACATTTTTAATAAGTGTTTATGAAAATTGTGAATGGTTTATTCAAATGTTATCTATATTGCTAGTATGCGAAGGACATTGGTACAGATGTTAATTGAAATAATGTGCAGTGTTAAGAGCCTATAAGAAGGTGGAAGAAATCTAGTTATGGTAAAGGACAGTTTAATGTTCATTAGTATTATACTAGAGTATAAAAGGAATAGTTTTGCTAAATTGCAAGGGAGAGCTCCAGTTAACATCCAAAGGGCACCATTCGGTTCCAGGACGATAAGGCTGTACTTCACCCTGTTGTCAGTGGACTGATCACCCATTGACACACCATTCCATCTTGGACTGGGAGTATAATAGTAGCATTTGTGTAAGTAGTATTTACATGCCTGTTTGCTTAACTAATCATTTTTCTAATAAAGTTTGGTTGTATCATTCAAAGTGTTGCCTAGTGATCCTCTACTAAACAGTTTTTCTGCAACCAACCTAGAAGCTTGAATCTGAAACCCAAGTTGGGTTTTCTTGGACCTTATGTTTAACAACTCAATATTAACTGGAAACATTTCAGCATAAAGGTTAACAAATGTTTACAACATTGATATAACCCATTCATGTCAACAGAGATACACAGGAGCAAAAGTGATGTGATAGAGTGGAGAATTGGTCCCATAGTTTAGATCCTGATCTGACATGGTCTGAGATTGCTGTGATGATAAATGTGCTCTCCTCTAACCCCTGGGGCTGAGGAGGGTAGCATCTTATGTTAACCTCCGGAGATTCTGTCACTGACTGAAGAGGAGTGTTAACTGGACTCTCCAGACCAAGGGGGTGACATGGGGCCTTAGATACCATCCTTCTACAAAGATAGATAGATAAACCTTGATTATCAGGAGCAAAAATAATGCAGTGTAGGTTTGAAAATAAAATACTGTATGATCCAGGGGAATGGGATGTATGTAGTTAAATGCATTTTTACTTACAATTAGAGCTAATCTGTCTAATTGTTTCAAACAGTTTACTCAACATATTTAGCCCTTTCTCTCTGCTCATGAATTGTCTTTGAACAGATTGTGATTTTTATGAACACATCAAATAGTTTTGACAAAGATGTTTGACCTGTGGATTGTTCACAAACTGTTCACAGCAAATATCCATTTAGGTACTGATACTCAGAATTCGTTATTTGACATTTGGGACTGGTCACCCAGCTCACATGCTATTGTTTCTGCTCCATGATAGGATGGCTGGACTTTTACGAAGTACGTATACTTTCCTCTGGAAGGAATTTTAGTCATAAAACAAATTTTGTTTCTCAGTTAACTGAATCTCACCTACTGGGCCCCAAATTCTCTCTCATGAATATTCTTACACACAAAATTTTGTTCACATGAATGTTCACAGGCAGCACACCACAGAGCGGCACTCACAGGCTGCTTTGAAGCCCAGCTGCTAATTTCACAAACAGGTCTTTTATACTAGTTGACCAGCTCTATTTACTGTTAGCTTATTTATAAGCCATTGTTCATACATCTCAATGTGCTGCACAATGTGAGCATCAGTGCACAGCCTTATCACATGTTAATAACTAGACTGCTTAGGGGAGAGAGAATTTATACAATGCCAGGACAGCAGCACCCCTTTCACAAGCAGCAATTTAGGGATTCAGCTGCACTGGGCATTGTCTTATGGATGGTCTTCAGAAAGGGGGATTGGCTATTGATCTTTTCAGCAAATGCCTCGTTTTGTACATATTCCCAAGCCCCACCTTTGAGTACTCACTCACCAGCTATTTGCTTCTCTTCTTCTTCTCAGACTACTTCACTGTTCGGTTCTCCAGTACATTAAGTCATTAATATCCTGGCAAACAAGAGGACAAATGGATCAGTAAATATTACTGGACAATTGCCACACAGACCTACCTTTTCTGTGTAGTGTGTGTGTGTGTGTGTGTGTGAGATCACTTAGTTAAAAGAGATTGTGTGTACATTGCCAATGTAATTTGACAAATGGTTTTCAAATAGTATGAAGTTAGCCAGTTCCCTGATACTTCAGATATACACAGTGTTACGACACGATATGTCAGTAGCTGTGCTGAAAGGGTCTTAGCTGACATAGCAAGGGAGAAATCCAGGGATATGGGCATGAGGGGTTTTAGCTGGTGAATCAATAAGTATCTTTGATGGGTATGGTGAGGGTCCCTGCAGATATAAGGGGGCTCCCTGGAGATATTGCTACATCTTGCAAACAGACAGCAAGCAGGCATGTTCCTGACATGGGCTGTCTGCTTTCCCAAGCATCATCAGGGGTGACTTTAACCTTCTTCGCCAACTGCCAAGACAAGCAAGGCATTTTCATTCCACACTCCACATCGTTGACAGCTTACACTAACAGGTCCCAATTGCCACATCCCATAAGAGACACACATTCTTGCTTGTCTAAAGGGGACAGGGTGGTGAAAGAAAGGAGATCTCACTGACTGTCCCACTGTGCGAACGCCAGTAGAGGACAATTCCGCGTGAGAAGAGAGAAAGGGCTGCAGGGAAACTACCACTGCCATCCAGCAAAGCTGATTGGTGGATGGTGTCGCTGGGCTGTAGGAGCAAAGATGGAGTAAATTTCTTCCCAGAGCAGTCCAGCTCTCAGTTTTTTTTCCCTTCCAGAACCAGACCTGAAGGAAAAAGCTCCACAACCCGCAAATTGCTTCCCTCTCACATTGCCGTAAAGTGGTACTGCCAACACACACGAGCTCAGCACATGCATTCCTGGCACTGCTAAGATTGAAAATGCAGCTCCGAAGAGAAGGGGTTAACCCATAGAAGCACAGCCACGGGAGAGCTGAGACGTTAGTTTAAACTGACAAACCTAGTCCTCTGTAAACAGAGGAAACAAACCACACAAAACAGCAGCCATTAGAAGGTTGTTGTTTTAAATCCAGAAAGCAAACCCAGTGACCGTCCCCAGACCTGCGATCTGAAGCTTACCCCAGATTTCTCACTGCTCCAGAACCAGTGGTGAGGTGAAAATATTCTCACGCTGGAATCCGTTGACTCTCCGAGAAACTTGAGAGAGAAAGGAGAAGGCAAGAGAGAGCGGGAGAGAAGGGGGCGGAGGCAGCTCTGACATGTTTGTACAGTGCCTGGTTCACCTGGCTGTGAATTTGATTTCAGGGTGTGGTTGTAGATGAGACACAGAAATGTTCAGCGCTGGAAAGTCTCAGGCTCTCACTGCAAAGAGCATGATGAATGCTGACACTGGGGCCTCATGGGATCCTCCTTCCTCCTCCTCATCACCATCTCCCTTTGGACTCTGGAAGGGACAGGAGAGAGAAGGTGCTCAGAGTTGCACCAGAGCAATGAGGTTTGCTGGGTCTCAGACAAGAGCCTCTGCAAGGTCGCCACCTTGCACCCCTCCTCATTGGCTGACCTATTAATGCTCCGACTTGCTCGTTACCGCGCTTCTCTCGTTTCCACTGCCTTGGGGCCTAGAGCTGCTGCAGTTCCTAATGAATCCCGACATCTCCTGCTGTGTTGTGAATTTCAGGATCTGCCACAAATTCCTAGTCATTCCTGGCAGCGGGAGCTTTGATCATTTGATATATGTCTGGATAGATGATAATTAATTTGCATTGCAGATGTGCAGCACATGACCTGGTGCCAATACTTTTCCTCTGTAGCTTGCTATGAGTCAGTGCTGTGTGGTTTACTGTCTAGTATCACCCCATAATCCTCTTGCTCCAATTGTGCTGTAGCTCGGAGCTTATTGACTCCTGGAAATATACATTTCTGCATCAGTGACTTCTGTCTGCTGGAACTTCAGTCAGCAGCGGGGGATGGGAAGAGGTGGAACGTGGATGAGGAACAGGAGGAGGTCAGAGTTCATGTCTGCCAAAGCCATCAATAGCTCTTTCCCTAGAGCAAACAAAGGGGATTCTTGCCTTATTGCAAGAGTCTATTGCAAACAATGCCAGTCTAACACCAAGATGATTAGGTCCAAAGAGCAAAGATAAAAATACCTCCACCCCACACCGTGTAATTTACTCCCTTTTGTTTGTGTGTGAGGGGGGCGGTTTGCCAACATGGTATTAAATAAAAAAAAATCCATGATGTAAGTAACCCTGATCAATTAAACTGACATGGGCACCACAGACAGACATTATGGCCCAGTGGAGGGGGCAGAGAAGTGGGACTCAGGAGACCTGGGTCCTAATCCTCACCCTGCCACTGACTTTCTGTGTAACCTCGGGTAAGTCACTTCACTTCCAAGTGCCTCAGTTTCCCCTCCCACTACTTCTCTTGTCTATTTAAATTACAAGCTCTTCAGGACAGGGTGTCTTTTACTATGTGTATGTACAGTGCCCAGCACAATGGGCCAGGGTCTCAGCTGGGATCTATAGGAACTACTGTAATACAGAGAATCATGATAATAATACTGAGGGCAGGTCTACACTAGAAGCGCTACATTGGCGCAGCTGCACCAACGTAGCTGTGCCGCTGCAGCATGTCTAGTAAAGATGCTCTATGCCGACAGGAGAGCGCTCCTGCATTATTCTACAGGTCCTTGTCTGATGAGGCCTGCCAAGGAGATTTCCTACTGGTTCTCTACAGCAGCCTCTCTGGTATCTAGGAAGTAAAGTTAGCCAAGACCCTTTCTATCTGGGGATTGGCCTGCCTGCTCCTATTGGGACATGTAAAGTTGGCGTCCCATGAGCAGTTGTAACCAAAAAAGGGGACATTTTTATTAGTGATGGCAAACACCAAACAGTGCTCAGAAGAGAGAAGGGCCAGCATTAGCCTCCCAGCAGCTCTCCCTTCAGAAGACTGCAATTTGAGCTGCAAAGTGCTGCCATGTGGAAGATCAGAGCATGAGCCCTTGTTTGCCAGGTTGGCAAGGGATGTGCCTGCTGCTGAGATGTGTGTTACACTCTTGCATATTGTCATTAGCAACTGCTACTTCCATACATTTCCACTGTGCCAGGCCGTGAGGGTCGATTTATATGGGTAAGTTTGGGGGGAGCAACACAAAGAAATATCACTTATACTGTACAGGGAGTCACCCAGGTTTGGGACGGCCTTTAAATCTACACAAGAATGGTCCTCCATGGCTTTAAGTGTTTGGGAGCATCGCACAAAGCCCTCTAAAACAAGAGGCACATCCTAGTCATGGAGACAGGCTTTGCCACAGTTAGAAGGGCCTGGCTTTACTTGCCAGAATGAGGACTTTGGATGGAGCCAGAAAAGGCCTGCCGACAGCAATTCCGGGCCCCAGGACAGAACAGTCAGTGGGCCCCCACACACGCACAAGCCGCGCCCGCGCAGACACGGTCCGCCTGACATTTGGGCGATGCTGCGCCTGCACTGGCTGGTGCCCAGAGAGCTGCTGGCTGCGCTGCTGGGCGCGCTCTTCCCGCACAGCCAGGGCTTCCACATGCCTATCCAGTACCGTTGCCAACTGTCTAATCATGCAAACCCCGCCCCGGCCTGGCCCCGACCCTTCCCTGAGGCCCCATCCCCTGCTCACTCCATCCTCCCCTCCCTCCTCCGTTGCTCACTCGCCCCCACCCTCATTCACTTTCACCAGGCTGGGGCAGAGGGGGTGAGGGGTCAGGCTCTGGGAGGGATTTGGGGTGTGGGAGGAAGTGAGGGGTGTGGGCTCTGGGGGGCGAGTTTGGGTGTGGGATGGGGTGCAGGGTGCAGACTCTGGGCGGCAGTTTGGGTGCGGGTCTAGGTTGGGGCAGGAGGTTGGGGTGCAGGAGGGGGTCAGGGGGTCGGCGCTTACCTCACATGGCTCCTGAAAGCAACCAGCACACCCCTCCGGCAGCGGCTCCTAGGCGGGGGGCCCAGAGGGTCTCTGCACACTTCTGCCTGCAGGCACTGCCCCCACAGCTCCCATTGGCCGCAGTTCCTGGCCAATGGGAGCTGCGGAGTCAGTGCTCAGGGCGGGGGCAGTGCACGGAGACCCCCCTCCCCAGAGGCCACAGGGATATGCCAGCCGCTTCCAGGAGCAGCGCGGAGCAAGGGCGGTGGGGCAAAGCACCCCTTTGCCCTCCCCTGTCAGCAGGCCTGGAGCCAGAGCAGCTTGAAGCCTGAAGTGAACCTTAGCAGTCTGGGATCTTAAATGAAGACCTGTAGCGTCATTTAGGGTGGGTGAGGAGGGGGCTCTAGTCCCCCTCTGAGTTTTGTACCCGGGGTCTCCTCACAGTGCATGCCCTACCCCAGCCAGTGCTCTTAATTGCACACATCTTGAGTGTGATATGTGAAGAATTCTGTACTACTCCCAGCTTCCACCTTGGGGGCAGGGAGTTTGTTTATAAACAGAAGCAGGGTGATTAAGATAACAAAAGCTTTTTCATTAAATTAAGGCTCCTTAGATGATCCTGAAAGCACTGCCAAGCACTCCAGTTAAAAGATAGGAAACAAAGGGTAGGAATAAATGGTGAGAGTGGAGAGAGGTAAATAGTGGTATCCCACAGGACTCTGTACTGGGATTAGTGCTGTTCACCATATTCATAAATGATCTGGAAAAAGGGGTAAACAGTGAGGTGGCAAAATTTGCAGATGATACAAAATTACTCAAGCTAGTTAAGTCCAAAGCAGACTGAAAAGGGTTACAAAGGGATCTCACAAAATTGGATGACTGGGCAACACAATGGCAGATGAAATTCAGTGTTGATAAATGCAAAGTAATGCAGATTACAAAATATAATCCCAACTATGCATACAAAATGATGGGGTCTAAATTAGCTGTTACCCATCAAGAAAGAGATCTTGGAGTCATTGTGGACAGTTCTCTGAAATCATCCACTCAATGTGCAGTGGTAACCAAAAAAGCTAAGAGAATATTGGGAATCATCAAGAAAGGGATAGATAATAAAACAGAAAATATCAAATTGCCTCTATATAAATCCATGGTACCCCCACATATTGAATACTGCATGCAGATTTGAGTCACCCCATCTCAAAAAAGATATACTGGATTTGGAAAAGGTACAGAGAAGGGCAACAGAAATGATTAGGGGTCTGGAACACCTACCATATGAGGAGAGATTAAAAAGACTGGGACTTTTCAGCTTGGAAAAGAGATGACAAAGGGGGGATATGCTAGAGGTCTATAAAATCATGAAAGGTGTGGAAAAATTGAATAAGGAAATGTTATTTACTCCGTCACATAACACAAGAACTAGGGGTCACCCAATGAAATTAATAGGCAGCAGATTTAAAACAAACAAAAGAAAGTATTGCTTCACAGTTAACCTGTGGAACTCTTTGCCAGTGGATGTTGTGAAGGCCAAAACTATAACAGGGTTCCAATAAAAGAGCTAGATAAGTTCATGGAGGATAGGTCCATCAATGGCTATTAGCCAGGATGGGCAGGGATCCAACACCATATTCTGCATGCCCCTAGTCTCGGTTTGCTAGAAGCTGGGAGTGGGTGACAGGGGACAGATCACTTGATGATTGCCTGTTCTAGTCATTCCTTCTGAAGCTCCTGGTATTGGCCACTGTTGAAAGACAGGATACTGGGCTAGGTGGACCATTGGTCTTACCCAGTATGGCCATTCTGATGTTCTTATATAGAACCCCCCACTGTAACCCACTAGGAACCCTCTCCTCTCCTAGAGCCCAGGAGTCCTGATGGAGTCTCTCGCACCGCAGAGTTAGAAGCAAAGTAAGAATATACTTACTAAAACATAAAATTTTAAACCTAACCAGTGTCCCTTAAGTGACTTGCCACAAGATGTCAGAACATGTTAGTATTAGAGCTGAGTGGGTCTAATATTTATTTAATTTTCTTTCTTTTATATAGGAATTAGATACAATGTGCCTGTAGGCTAATTGCTATGTTAAATGCCAAAAAACTAGAGTTTTCAAGTAGCCCCTGGAATCATGGTTAAAGTTGCCCCCTCCCCCCACCAAAATCTGAAGTGGCGCCCCTGATGAAGACTAGGACATTTCCCAGGCTTTTTAGGTAAGACTTGGATTCCTAGCATCCGGTGCACTTTTGAAAATATAGACTTTCCCTTGAATCGAAGCTCTCTAGATTTTCCCTCCAATTACAATTTGTCCCGTGCCTCTTTCCAACACCGTGCTGCTGCTCCCCAGCCAACTGCTTCTTGGGGAGAACTACACAAGAAAAAAAAAAAGAGATCACTCTTGCCACAGTTGCTGAACTGCATGTTGCTCTTTCAGACTGCTTCTCCCAACCCCAGGACTGCCTCCCCTAGGGCAGCCATAACTGGGGAACAAGAAAGACTTCAGAGTGTATTGGTTACCCTCACTGGCTCAGCCTGGTTATTTGATTTATAAATA